TAATCTTATTCGTTTTAATTTTCTTTATGCAAGATGTTGATGATTTGGTCAACGGTTGTGCATGGCAACAAATGTTAGAAATGCATGTTCCATTTTTATGCAAATTTGATTTTCAAATGTTAATTATGAAAAGATATCCAAAATTAGATTTAGACATGGTCGAAAATTCATCTGAATATTTTATTCGAAAATATTCTAATTGGCACATGATTATTGATCGATGGACATCTGATGTCAAAATTCCACGTAAGTAAAATTTGTTTAAATCATAAAAAAATAATATAAACTAACTAATGCTTACTCAGAGTTATTTTGAGACTATAATAAATAGTACCTATCGTTTCGATTGATTTTAATGAAGTGTATCTGTAAATTAAGACTATCCCATGTGTTTCGCTTTTTCGGGCGTGACAATCAACATCTTTTTGACTTTTAGTATTTCATAAATCGACATACATTGAATGGCCCTCTATCGATCTGTAGCAAAAATATTCTTTTGACAAAGTTTCAACATCAATAGAAACGATTTTGGAGACCCGCTATCTCGGAAAACTCGACGTCAAATAGAAACTCAAACTGGAAATGAGCTTCAGTCGATCTGGTGTTTTTCTCTTATTTCAGAGAATGTACAACAAGAAAAAGTACTCTGAAGGGAAAAAAACCCTTTTTCAGGATGAGGTTGTAGTGGAGAGGCTATGGTATGATTGTCGAGTCAGTAGCATTACGCATTCAGTAGATATTTACTATCTAAGGGCTTAAAACAGCCTCTTTGATAATCCAAAATTTTCCGCCAGTCTTTGTCTTAAACAAGTATTTTCTTTCTTGTTCGACAGAAGACACTTTGTCTGGGGACCTTGACAAAGTCCTTTTTTAATTGTTACTTATGCGGAAGAAATACCTCACAAGTTCAACTTCCACAAAAACGTCTATAAAACTGGGAGTCTCTTTATAGAAGTGCTTTCAAATATGATAAAAATACTATATAGTTCAATCCAAAAAATAGGCTCTGCAACTAACCACATCCTTTCAAATAAATAAATACTAATTAGCTAGAATGAAGTTAAAAACATGTTTTGAACGTTGGAACTGCAATATTTGAATTCGTTGGAGAAAATGGCTGATATTTTTTACGGCAAACGAGGAAAGAAGGATTCAAGATTTGTCAACAATAGTGGATCTACCAACAAGCAGTTTGACTATGAAATTCTCCTCCCTCACACTTCATAGCCATCTATTTACCTTAAAATAGTTTTCTCTCACAAAAATCGACTTTGGTAGGACGAGGAAGAGGATATTCATAAAATATTAAAAGCTATGCACAGGTAACAAACTAGTTTGATTATGAAGGCTCAATATTTAGCCAATGAGATCATATGCTTATTCCAAAACTAAGTCTTTGGAAACATACAGCTTTTTTTCTTTTAGAAGAATGTATCATGTTACGCACATTTGCTTATCACAACCACAAAACAAACGTATATTCATTAATTTCATTGATTGATTGTGAATCATTTGAGTCACGATCAACAAAAACAACAACAAATGATCATTATCTTTATTATTAAGATACAGAATATTTAATATTAAACATAACAAAGATAACACCAAGAATTACTTGTTCTTTTCCTTTACGTTAACATATCAATTCTCTCATTATATATATGCCAATAATATGTTCATCATCGTCGAACAATACATTGAATATTGGTAAGAAGAATACATATTTCTTTTAATTATATAGTTCAGTTGATGAAAATGAATTTGTCATTTTCAATTTATTTAAGCTGAATATTTTCGATTTTTATCGTATATAGACAAATTTGATTTGATTATTCTTCATTTCATTTTTATTTATTGTCTTTTTTTAGTCAACTCTCGTCAAACAAATGAGAATGATGATTCACAACAATGTGTTACTTACCTTTCACATTTTGTGTATTCACATAATGTAACTCAAATCGAATTTCGGTCAAATGTTGATATATCTCGATGGAAAGATATTCAATGTATTCTATAGTAAGTATACTTTATATTGGTGAAAGAAATATATGATTCTCCAGTTTCAATTTAAGAGTTATTATTACTACTTCTAGTTTATTTTCTCCAATGAATAATTTCATTTTATATCAGCTAGATAATCTTATATTCTACAGAATAATAATTACCAGGGCTTGGAATGGGCCACTTTTTGGTGGTCCGGCTCAGGCCAGAAGGATGTTTCATTTACCACGATTTTTCTCCTAATAGAATCTGGAGATCATTTCGATAATCACTAATGTTCTCGGGAGGAAATAATCAGTATTATAATGAATTAGATTCGGCCTGATTTGTTTTCAACACATTTTTTTTCGTCGATCACATTATCACATTAATTAACGTAGTTGATATACTACAGAACACTACGTGTGGACCCGAGATACGATCAGTTTAAGCAATTACTATGGTTTATTATATTACTCGGATTGAAGTCCACATATTTTTTCTATCATGAAACTTTTTTAGTAATTTTTATCACTTATGATGGGCATAAAGTTTGATAAAAAAGTAAAAAAAAAAGCATAAACGTCGAGCCGGGGGCCCATTTCGAGGCCTGATAATTACTGACATTAAATATAAACATAATGACTATATTTTTTTATTTTAGGGCTTGTCCAAAAATGATTAATCTTATAATTGGTACTCTATATTTGGCTTTATCAGAATTCATCGATAATCAATCTCTTATTTCAATCTTCAAACAAATTAAAATACTCAAATCAATAACAGAAAATGATTATTTTTCCTCAAATTTTGCATCAAAACTTGCTCGACGTTTTCCATCATTTACTGATATTGAACTTCAAGTGTTTTCATTCGATAATTGTGTATCTACTATTGATATATTACTTAGTCATCTAAAAACCTGGCCTTATCTTAAAATTTATTATAGTCAAGTTTCATTACTCGATCATTCCTTTTCACATAATTATATTATTGATAAATGTTGTGAAGCATTTGGTTTTAATATTATCGATGAACATAGGGTTACAGTTAGAAGGAATGGAAAATCTGTAGAAAGTAGATTATCATGATTTTATAAGTATACAGATTTTTTTTGTGTAAATAAAGTTGATATGAATATGTGTCTTTTAAGTCATTCTTATTTGAAGTGACAGAGATTATTTCTGGTTGATGTATGACTTCGAAAATTAGATGAATACTAAAGTAAAATTGATACATTGTCTAGAATGCTTCAAAAATAAAATGTTCAAAAATAATTGGTATATTCAATCATTTCATTTAGTTTACTATTTGCACAAGTATTCACTGATCAAAAATCATCTCAAAACTTATATCTCTCCCATTCTGTTAGTCTACTGAATGGTTTACAAAAACATAAGTTCTAACTTTTTTAAACAACTAAGACATCCGAATGGATTTATTAAAGCTCAATTCGATATATCAATGTCTCACCGTTATTTAAACACTTTTTTCATTTTGTATAGTATTGAATGCAACAAAATGCAGAATTATCATTTCTTTCTTTTGATTCATTTATGATTCGTATGGGAGATAGCAATCGAATCAAATCGAACTTTCGTTTCTTTAATCTGATGCTTTTATAAAATATCGACGTAGATGTCGTCACCTCATCTTAATATATAAAGCAAAATAAAATCATAGTCTTTCTTAGAAAATCAAATTTTTCATATCAGGTACCAATGTTTTAGTTTTTAACGAAATTTTTTTATTGTAATCAACATTAGTCAATAATTGAACTTATCTGTATGGATACTTGTCTTTACATTGTCTCTTTGTGTATGACTGTGGTTATTGTCATTCATTATTTTATTTCTACTTCACATGTTCCAATTTGAACATATGTGATAATATTATGCTAATAATATCTTTTATTTTCAGATGTCACCAAACAAAAAAATTCATTCCGGATGAACAAATTCAAGTGAGTAAAATGAAATCTTGATAGATATCACCGCAGAGCGGTTTTGATTAAAATCATTCATAATTGCTTCTTTGCTTTAGAATGATGAAATTAACGTTATTGAACCAAATGATGATTTTCTAGGTGATGATGCCTCACCCCTGTTGATGGATAACGGGGAAGGGGCTGTGTCGGGTGAAGATCACCACCTAGTCGGGTTCGACTTTGTCGATGAAGATGATGCCGAAGAAGTGGTAAAAGAATTAAAATAGGGCGAATAGATGAATTATTATTTATTTAGATATCTCCGGTAATAACAAATAGATTAACTGATGAACTTCTTCATGATACAAACGAAATTGATTTAGCTACACACTAAGATAAAATGTGTCGCATGTGTCGTACTTTGCGACACAATGTACGACACATTAATATGCGACACGAGGAGCTCGTTGCGACACATTTCTTCCAACGGACGTACGACACATTCTTGTGCGACACATGCGACACATTTTTAACACGTGGCTCGAATCCATTTTTCGGTACGAGGATTATGTTTTTTTGAAAATTCGAATAGTTACTATTTTTTCAGTTAATTTCAAATAGTAGCACCTATTCTTGGAGTTCGAGACGGTAGATCTTAAGATCTAGCTGCCTCGAGACCATTTGATCTCGATCAGACTACTTCGAGGCAGTCCATTCTCGATCATCTAGCGACCTCTCGACATGTTCTCGAATAATAAATGGCCGAGAAATAATCTAGAAAAAAAAGACACGAAAATGTATAAGTCAAGTATGTCCAATAGGCTCGGTTATATGCAGCTGCACTCGCGAAACAAATCAGTGAATGAACGATTGACATATAGGCTATGACAGATCTATAATGCGACACATTTTGTACGACACATTTTTGTAATGGAGTCTGCGACACATTCTTGTACGACACATTTTATTTTAGTGTGAATGACTGAATTGTCAGAATTATCAGTCTCAGCAACAACTGATACAACATCTGCACAATCAATTAAATTAAATGAACAATTAATTCATAATGCTGCTGTAGAAAGTGAATTAGAACGACGTCAAATTGCATGTGCAAATACATTTTGGTCTCAACATAACCAACTTTCAACATTTTTAAATAATACTGAAAAAGAAACAACACAAATTCGTCCACGTTTAACATCACGTAAACATATTGAACATGAAAAAGATAAATATAATAAATTAGCTAATGACTTTTCTATAAATCAAATCAAATTTCAAGAAATTCTTGAACAACATAGTTCATATTTATTAACATTAATTTCAAATAATCTCGAAGAAAGTGAAGATATTCAACGTAGTTTAAATGAATTAGAACAAGAATGGAATCGTATATAAAAAAATTTAAATCAATGTAATAAGAAATTAGAACAAGCTATGCTTGAATCAACGAAATTTAATGTGAAATTAGATCGTATATCACCATGGTTTCATGGTACACCATGTCAAACAACTGCTGTAGATAAGAATGGATTTGAAAGTAAGTTATTCAAACATTTAAAGAAAATCCAGATTGTAAATATCTTTATATAGTTAGATTAAAACATGATGATACAGATATTAAACAACATAAACAACAACCAATTGATGGAACAATACAACAAGATCAACATGACATAGAAGAAAATGAAAAAACAAATATTGTTGAAGAACAATTAAGTAATATTGATTCAAAATGTACACAATTAAATGAGAAAATACAAAAATAGTAAGTCATATTCGAGATTTCTTTATGATATATGATGGCTAATGAATGTTGAAGTAGGCAGCGAGGGATTTGAATTCCTGCCTTCGTCCAAAAATGATGGAATAATGATCGTGATTAAATTCTTCATACAATGGGTTATTTAAATTCAATCTGAATTTAAAAAGAAAAAAGAGCACTTGATTTCAAATTGAAATAGAGGACTAAGGGGACTAAGGGGACTAACTAACCGGCCTAAGGGTAGGAATAATGGTGTACACAGAGACGTGCATGGGTCGCGGCTCTTCAGGGGGCGTTTCGCGCCCCCACGCCGCGACGCTGAAATAAAAGGTGTGTTAGGTGGGGAAACACGCTTCCCCACTGAATAGTCCGCTTAGTCCCCTTTGTCCTCCTAGCCCACCCTCAAAAAAGGTACTATAGATATACCATATGTCGACTGAAATCTATACATGTTATGTATGTATCCATAGTAGCCTTTCTTATAAGGAACAGGAGACAAGATACCAAAGAATTCTTCCATTCTGAATTTAAAGAATTTCTTAGTCCCCTTAGTTCCTCTGCCTTGGTAAAAATGGGCTGTTATTTTTTTTCAAAATTCAATTTGAATTAAAAAAACCCATAGACTCGGTTCGAGTTGGTGGAGGTTGGACAGCACTTGATGAATTTCTTGTTCGACATGATCCATGTCGAGGTATGATTTATTTTTACTTTCTTCTGATTTTTCTCTCATATATGGAGCACTACAAAAGTTTTCATGATTCTCAAACACCGTTATTTTGTGAAATATGATTCAAACTGTCATGAAGGGTAGATGATAGATTACTCGTTCCAGTGTGGGGCCGAGAGGTCGACGTTCCTCCTGGAGTTCGTCTAAGGATCAGTTTTTGATTATCATTGAAATAACAGTTGAATGTCAACCTGTGCAATACTAAAATTGAGAATTGTACGATCTAGACTTGTTTAGTTTCTAAACGAACATGATTTTCGTTAAGTAAGTTTTATGAGAATCGAAAATTATACGAAAAACTTTTGTAGTGCCCTGTGTACTAACAAAAATACTATTATATACAGGAATGCATGCCTACAATCGATTTCTGGCGACTGTTGCTGTAGGAACCTTTGTCCTTCTTTCTATATTCTTTACTTTTTTAAATCTAAATGTGCTTTATGTTGTTGTGCTTCTTTGTATATAATCACATGTTGCAGGACGTTTATATTATGTACCAGTATAACAATCAGGTGATAGTAGATTTTTAGCACTGAGTGTTGTGATGTTTTATTTTTGTTTGCGATGTGTTTATTTTTATATTGATATAATAACTAACTTATCTTATTTATTCATTGTTTTAGCTAAAGGTCGTATTAATTATGAATTACAACCAGAAAGTTATGCTTTATGTGATGGTATTGCTCAAACAGTGACATTATTTAAGCCAAGACTTGTTACTGTTCATCGACCAACAAGTCTTTATCATCAACAACAATTAGCAGCATCCAAAAAATCACCAGTTACAACACTGAATCGAGTAATATTTGATATTTTGTTTTTCTATTTCTTCATCGATTGTGATTTTTAAGGGATCGATAGATAAATCTCGACGAACATCATCAATTACTTCTTCAACACAACAACATCGACCAAGCAAAATTTCATTGCCAATATCTCGACTTAAAAAGGCAACAAATGGTGGAACAATACCAACGAAAAGATCCTAAACAACCAAAGACACATACATATATTATTTGTTGTATCATGTATTCATTTACATGTATCTTCTATATTTTCTTTCTTAATCTTATTCCTAGTCAAGATTTTACTCTCCCTTATTTATTATTTACTCATGTTTTGATCTCTTAACTGTGTGCTCTAAGCGGCGCTTCGTTTTGTTTTTTTATGTTATTCAAATAATTAAATGATAAAAGAGGAAGAGCTAATAATATGATTATTGAAATTTAACCTTGAAACGACCAACTTAAAAACTACCCCTTATTGATCACCTGGGTCTGTACCGACCCCAGATGGTCGTGTCAGGGTTAAAAATTCATTGTATTTTGACATCTTTACATAGGTAGCTGTCCTGTTAATATGTTACGCTTGCTCTATGCAATCCTATTTGACATAGTCTTCTGTAGGCGTAGTTTTAGATTGATTTATGCTTTTTGTCAATTAATTGGATCTATTAGAAAAAAGTCAATAATTTTGATATTTGATCGTCTCAGAATAGGATATATATTAAAAATTGAAACATTTGTATGTTGTTGATGTCAGTTAGATGTTTGTCTTTTCACATTAATTTTATCAATATAATTGGTTATATTTTGAGAACTTGCTTCTTTTGCTTTTAACTGTTGCTTATATTAAATTCTTTTACAGAGTGGTTAAGAATTCTATATAAAACAAAATCGATTATAGAAAATGAGATCAATCTTCAACAGTATTCTTTTTCGATCTCTCTCTCTCTCTCTTTTTGTTACAACTTCACACTATGAAACATTGTTTTATTTTCTCGTTATTGTTTATTGGATGATCGTATATGGCTCATTAACTGAATTGTATTTTATTTTAAGCATTGAGAAATGAATTATCTTTCAAACAAAACAAAAAAAAGTATAGAATGAAGATCCACAGAGAATTTTGGGATGCCAAATAAGCTATTGTTGACCCTTGTTTGGGGCATATCTCCCTCAAACGTCATGTTATAGGGCTGAAAATTTTATCATAGCCTCTCCACTACAGTCCCAACATATTCTGAAAATTTCATGCGATTTGCATGTACCGAACCCGAAATCGATTTTTGAGGGGGGGGGGGGGCGCCTTAAAGAGAATAACAAACTAGTGAGAAAGAGGAGGAAGGGTATAGGTACCACTTCTTTTGAGGATTGATAGATGTTTCGAAATATCATAGTTGTATATTTTTAATTATGTTATTTCAACGAAAATAAATTATCAGATAAGGGGGAAATAGATGTAAAGAATACGGATATCGGATTTTGATTCAATATACTTCCTAAATAGCTTTTTCAAAATGAATATGTCAATGACTTCTCTCACATGTTTCATATGAGACGTGATTGCCAACAAAATATTGTAAACAAAAGACCTTATTCAGGCTGTTCACTTAAGAAACAACCTATATAATTAAAGTTTTCTAAATTGCAAATGACTAATTGGTACACCACATTATATCGATCAAATCTCTCGATTAGCTTGGTCAATAAATTAAAAGGACGAGTAAATATGTAGAAATCTTTTCAAATATCAATGAAACTTGAAAAGCTTCATAGACATAAACAATTTAATGATTATGATTGACATACATACTGACTATGTAAATAGACGCACACGAATAAAACTCTAGTTGTCGACTTGTAGCTAATCGAAATGTCCTTAGAATATTTTACATGTACGTAGTTGAATACAATAATGATTCAAGAAAATGATCAAATGTAACAATTATTTTTGAACATTTTATTTTGGAAGCATCCCAGACACGCACGTACCGAAGGGGGGAGCATGAGCCCGCTCCCCCCTCCCCCCCTCAGAAATGAAAACGCCTGGAGGAGGGTACAGGCAGAATTTTTTTGCGCAGCGAAGTTTTTCTTTTTCACATTGTGCCCGCCCCCCACAGAAAATTTCTCGGTACGTGCCTGATCCCAGACAATGTATCACGTTTACCTGAATATTCATCTAACCTTCGAAATCATACAACAATCAGAAATAAGCTTTGTTACTTCAAATAAAAATAACTTAAAAAAAACATATTCATTTCAACTTTATTTACACAAAACAAAATCTATATACATATAAAATTATGATAATCTACTTTCTACAGATTCTACATTTCTGCTAGCTATAACCTTATGTTCATCGATAGTATTAAAACCAAATGCTTCACGACGTTTATTAATAATATAATTATGTGAAAAGGAATGATCGAGTAATGAAACTTGAATATAATAAATATTAAGATAAGACAAGTTTTTTAGATGACTAAGTAATATATCAATAGTAGATACACAATTATCGAATGAAAACACTTGAAGTTCAATATCAGTAAGTGATGGAAAACGTTGGACGAGTTTTGATACAAAATTTGAAGGAACATAACGCTTTCCTTGTATTGATTTGAGTATTTTAATTTGTTGGAAAATTGAAATAAGAAATTAATTATCGATGAATTCTGATAAAACCAAATATAAAGGACTAATTGTAAGTTTAATCACATTTGGACATGCTCTAAAACAGAAAAATAAAATATACTCAATATATTTATATTTATTGATAGTGATTATTATTCTATAGAATTCAACATCAACTATCTGACATAAAATGAAATTATTCATTGAGAAAAAATAATATTAGAATTATCAAAAATAACTCATAGATTTAGAAATCATAAAAATCACTTAATTTGATTATCTATAAAAGATTGTTAGAAAAATGAAAAATGAAGAATCAAATGTTTTTTTCTATCAACATCAAGTATACTTACTGTAGAATAAATTGAATATCTTGCCATCCAGATGTATCAGCATATGATTGAAAGCCAATTTGATTTACATTGAGTAAATGAACAACATGTGAAAGATAGGTAACACATTGCTGTGAATCATCATTGTCATTTGATTAAACAGAGTTCACTAAAAAAAGATAATGAATAAAAATGACGAGAAGAATAATTAAAAGAAATATGTATTCTTCTTACCAATATTCAATGAATTGTTCGACGATGATGAAGATATTATTGGCATATATATGACGAGACAATTGATATGTTAACGTAAAGGAAAAGAACAAGTAATTCTTGGTGTTATCTTTTCCATGTTCAATTCTAAACATTTTGTATCTGAACAATAAAGATAATGATCATTTGTTGTTGTTTTTGTTGATCGTGTCTCAAATGATTCATAATTCATCAATGGAATATTTGTACTTAGATTTCTTTTGTATTTGTGATAAGCAAATGTGCGTAACATAACAATCTGTACTACAAGAAAAAAAATGTATGGTGAAAAAATTTTGTTTCACAATAAACAGATTCTCATAGGCTAAAGTTTGAGTCTGTTCATTGTCAAATAATTGATTGTCTGTGCATGGCTTTTGATATTTTATGAATATTCCTTTCCTCGTCCTACCAAAGTCGATATTTGTGATAGAAAAGTATTTTAAGGTAGATAGATGACTGTGAAGCCTGAAACACGGAAATTTCATAGTCAACCTGATAGTTGGTTGATCCATTATTTTTATGATAGATTTTGAATATTCTTTTTCTCCTTTATCATAAAGAAAAGCAATCCTTTTGAGCTCGGAATCGTACCATAGCCTCAACCTGATGAAGTTGTTTTCATCTTCTGAATACTTTTTTATTTCTGTACATTGCCTGTAATAAGAGAAAAACAGCATATAGACTGAAATTCATCTTCTGATTGCATTTCTATTTGACGTCGAGTTTTCCGAGATAGTGGGTCTCGAAAACTGTTTATTTAGATTCAAATTTTGTCAAAAGAAATATTTTCTTGCAGATCGATAGAGAACTATTCAAAGTTATCTATTTATGGAATAATAAAATACAAAAAGATTTTGACTGTCACGCCCGAAACAGAGAAGCATCGGAGTTAGTTCTAACGTATAGAAACACCTGCATAAATGTCATTAAAATAAAACATAATCAATGGCAACGATAGACACTATTTCTCATTTCCTCCAAATAACTCTCAGTAAACGTTGGTTAGTGTTTCTATTCTTTCTTTCCGATTTAAAGCAATTTAACTTACGTGACATATTGGAAGTAGGTACCCATCGATCAATAATCATCTGCCATTTGGGATACTTTTTAACAAAATATTGAAATGAATTTACGACCATGTCTATATCTAATTTTGGATAACGTTTCACAATTGAGATGTCCCATGAAGGAATTTAAATCGAATAAGATTAGGCATACAGCGTAAGATATAAGCGATTGAACGAATGTCACATATAACAAATGTTGATAAACCGAAAGTTGTCACTTGTGGTGATATAGGAAGATCATTTTTATTAATAAATGGATCGTAAATTGAAACACTAAAAGAAAAAATTATATTTTCAATCTTATTTTATACAGAATATTCGTCGGATATTTTCACTGTAACTTACTTTAAATTATTATTTTCAGATACAATTTGTTGCTTTATTATGACATGTAGACACCGTATTCTATGACAAACACGAAGAATTGGCAAAATTGAATATACTGAAACTGTATTCAGTGAGCCAGACATTAACAAATCAAGTGATATGAAATTCGAAGCAATTGAAGTATAAGTTGATATGTCTAAGTAATCATAATTATAACGAAGCATAACTGAACGAAAAGATGATTTGTGCATCAATATAGTTCGAGTTATATCACATATGTATTTTTCATTGATATTTTGATAAATTGGTTGGGCGATAACAAATGTAACAAGTCTATTCAAACTTTTAACTTGTTTAATAACATTATCAAGTAGAGTTGATGAATTAATCGACATAAATATACATGATTGAAGATTAATAAAATGATGTCATTTAAATAGTAAACTAATAATAGGTACACGATCACGAATTGTATCATGAATTTTTAGTGAGATGACTTGATGACCATGAAAAGTAAGATGAGAAGAAAGAAATTGTATTTCTCGATCATAATGACTGTTTAAGATGATAACATGAAGTAAAATTGATTTTAGAATAGACAAAATTCGTTTATTCAATGAAGCAAAAGCAGTAAAAATATCAAGTGCATGTAAATAATCAAATATTTCGAAGAAAATTTCATTTGATAAATCTTCTAAATGGGTATGTGTATCCATTTGTATAGATGACAAGAATAAAAGATAGTAATAGTCACGTTGTTCAGTTTATTCTGTGTAAAGAATTATCAAATGATAAAGAAATCGATAGATAATATGTTATATAATCTACAATAAGCAGTCTATGAGCAATATTGATGGGAAGATAAATTGAAAAATGAAGTTGACCGTCGATTTATCTTTATATGCGAAACAAAGAATTCTTCTACACGACACACACACACACTCTATTCGTTGATCGCTTTGATCATACACTAATTGGTTTGATCTCAGGAGGTAAAACACTGAGTGTGCATGAGGGTGTATGTGTATCCTGTAGAACTACCCATCAGTTGCACATATGAATCATTTAAAGATGATAAATAGGTACAGTTTAACATTGACGGTTTGACCGTTGGAATGGCAATATTTGAAAAGAGTTAAATAAAATGTTTTCTAAATTTATTTCATTTGTGATTGTATAATGGTTATTAACTTATGTAGTTAAGCTAATACAAGAAAAAGTAGTGTCAAACATATAGCTTCGGTATATAACGAATAATGGATAGTTTTTTAATAATAATGTATCTACTCTTTTAATGGTGATTTTTCTCGAATATTTTTATCCTGTACGTGTAAAAAATCGACTTACAGATTTGTCTCTTTCAAGATGAGCAACAAACATTTGTTTGCCGGACAGACTCACGAGTCAATACTTCAACAATCGATGTGAATATATTTTACTAGAAATTTAGCATCTATGTTGAGCTTAATGATAGCAAAAATAGTCGAACATTAGAAAGTAACGAACGTGAGAAAACATTTGTTACATATAGATAACAAACATCTGATTCATTTTCAGTGATCAGCGGCTTTGAATATTCGCTTTTGAATAAATATCGTAGTTGATAAGTGTCAATTTTTTTCTGCTTCATAAGTTGTTTCTTGCTATTTTCTCTGAATTATTTTATCCAAAACTTGCGCGAGAAAGAGTTTATCCAAAGCAAATATTCCACCGAATAACTGTCGTAGATTCGTAAATGCATATTGTTAAAAATGGCATTCTTACTTGGACTTATTCAAGCGCCTGGAATTAATTATATTTAGATTTTCATGTATTCTGCGGGAATCTTCAGCAGATTCTGCATCTCTGGTTGATGACGTTATGCAAATAGGGAAAAAGGCATTTTAATGTTCTTAATGATTTTCTCCGTGTCGACTTGGTACTCTTATTTGAAGAATGAATAAAAACAGAAAGACGAAAGCAATCTTGATTCGATGGCTTCTTGCTTGCCTACTTTGTCTAACACATTTACATATATCTATTGTTCTGCTTCTTGCAACTAAATCTGCTCATCATCTTGTTCTTCGTTTTCATCAATTGTTTCTTAATCATGATCACTGAGACTAGCTTGAAGTATTTCAGTACCTTAAAAATATGATATTGAATTTATTTCTGCATAATCAAGTGGAACAAGATCACGTCATTAAAGTTCAGTTGGTTTTTCTTAATTTTTTCTTTCTAATAAAAATAGATTTTTCTCACGAAATAATTAATTTAATGAACGAGCTGAAGCTGAAACAAATTTATCACGATACGATTTATATTTTGAAAGATCATGCAATCATTTTTCATTCATTGCTCAATAACATTTCGCACAAATTTAACAATTCTATTATAAAATTATTTGCAACTGTTTTACAAATACTTTACAGAGTATCAGGTAGAATAAGTTCAGTTAATGTTTGTGCAACATATAAAAGTATTTTAGTAAATTGACGTTGATGTGGCTGAAAATATTGTTGTAAATATGGATAAAAATCTATGCTGAAGATTATTTGAATGTAAGAGAAGATCTTGATGACGTAATTTTAAGCTTCTAGTACGAACATGTATGCATTTTGACAATGAAGATCTGGTACTCTTCTATAAATTTAAAGTATGGTGATGGTTGTGAAACTAGATACAAGAATATTAAGTCGATTAAGCTCAGAAAACAAACACAAATAGACAAGTGTCACCAACGATAAATGAGAAATAAAATTTCAGATATTTGACTGTTACTATAGACTCGTACCTTTTCCGTTGTATTCTTATTTATCAATGCTTGTGAATGAGCGGGTAAGTAGCTATAGTTATTTGATCTGATTTAAATAATTTCAGAGCGGATAGTTATTGAAACTATACTATAAAAGCATACTCTACATATAACTGAAAAAACGAGAAAAATAAACACTATAATTTGTCAACTTTTGATTAAACTTCGTGACTAGTCCACAGTCGGCAATCTTTCACAGGCACTTGGAGATTTTATTTTAAAACACTTCAATATATTCAAAAGTACTTTTCTTATAGGTTTTCGCATGTGCTCTTTTCAATAGAGTAGTTTGCAGAACTCAGAAGTACTTTTAAGTTGGTTTTCTAAAAATCATCGGTTTTCCAGAGATCAAAATGGTCGTTTAAATATCTAGTTACGATTTGAACATCATTTTTTATACATTTTTGAGTACACTGATTTTGAATCTGGTAATAGAAAGGTTTTACAGAACCTTCAAGAAAGTTTTCTTGAAATCCAGGTCTTTGGAAACTACTTTTAATAGAATACTTAAATTGAAGCGTTTTCTATGTTTTAGCAAATGCTAACAAGAGCTCAGACTAGAAAAGCACGTCGTCGTATAGTATATAGTGCCCATCACCACCGCTTGACTTTTTTTTTTATGCAGCTGGACAAGTCATTAGACTTCTCTTACAACTTGTAGACCGGTACTTCAAGGTCATTTTTCGTGGATTTGCTATGTATACGCAAAAAGAATCAAAATTGATGCTAAACTAAAATTAATGAAAAAAAAAACTTATAAAAAAAAATAAAATTCAAAATAATTAACTATCTACAAGCATACTATAAAAAAGGCTATCGTCTTCATTGTTACATGTCAAAACTGTTTTGTCTTTTCTTTTTGTTTTTGCACAAGAATGTTGTACAGTATAATTTATGACAGGATCGCTTCTTAAAAACAATCGATTGAAGATATCTGTAAGATTTTTTATGTGTCCACATTTTCCAAAGATCCAAGATCTTACCATTGTTTCTGGCTGTATCACAACCGAACATCATTAGCCTAGTTAATGATCTTTGTAGATTTGTAGTTTCACGTCATTGCGGACGAAACATTGAAAATTGGTACTTTCACGTATGACTGGATTTTGTTGAGAAGTGATCTCGTCTTGAAGTCGTTGAAAGGTACATCATTCAATGCAGTTTCTCGTATTGATTCTGAATATTTGATTAGTTTTGTCTGAAAGTACTGCTAACCCCCAAAAATTAAAGAATAACCTGGAGAACCGGAGTTTTTTATAAAACCTCTAACCCAGTCCAGGAGCATTTACGCATCTTTACGCTAAGTGAGTAGATGTGTCAAACAGATTTATACATTATGTGAAAATTTCGCGCGTTTGGAAGCTGTGCTAAAGTGTGCGCACTGACTACACTGAACATGTCTTTTTTGGAAAAATCGCGGTTGAGAAACAATGCATGGTTTTTCTAACGGAAAGACTGTTAGAGCAAGAGCTCTACTTTCAGAATCTGCATGATTTATTCTTTAAATCATTCTAATTTCTTTGAAACAATTCCCAGGTGATTCGATCCGACTGTCGGATTACGTCGGATTATATCGGATTATATCGGAAAAATTACCGGATTTTAACGGATCCGACGGGAACTCGTCGGAAGTTGTCGGCGTCCTAGCCACAGGATTCCGACAGGAGGTTCCGGATGTCGGAATAATCAGGATCCTGCGAAATCCCTGAAACTCCGACACTTTCCGACATCCAGAACCACTTGTCGGAATCCTGTGGTTAGGATTCCGACAAATTCCGGCGAATTTCTATCGGATTCGACAGGGTGAATTCGACCTGGGAAAACACTTTTCTCTAAGATGACAGAAATCAGGGCATTTTTTGGATCTAAGCTTTTTTCGATATTCTAAAGAGTTAAAATAAAAAAAAGGGTTTCAAAAAATCGGCAATTGGTTAAAGTATATTGGACATTATTCAAATCGCGAAAAATATCACTTTCATTTTTTCACCAAATGTTCATGTTGTTGCCCACTGTGCATTGTTCGATTCGTATCTTATCGTTAGTGCACGAATACAGAAAAGATCTTGAATAAATGACATGGAATTTTTTTGTTTATTTCTTATTTGAGACATTCATTGATGTCAAATACTTTATCATCAAATCGTCAAGTGGCACAATCATTACGAAATATTATTGAGCATGATCGAATAAATAATAATGAATTATTAATCAAAGTTCTTGAAATAATACAAGAATTTTTGAACAATTTAGACGATTGTTGCTCAAAATTAGAACACCAAGATTACATTAATAAATGTGAAAAACATATTGTAGCAGTAATTCAACAGCCTGAATACAATTTGTATGGAAATCAATCAATCGTTTGAACAAATAGAAAAAACACGTGGAATCAATGAAAACGATTGAATTAAAAGATCTTGATGTATTAATTACTGCTCTTGCTGATCTGAAGCAATCAATCGACAAAAGCTTTTCACGCTTAATCAGTGAATTAAACAATATGAAAAGAAATATGAATGATTTGGCAAACAAAGTTAGCAAGCTGGAAGTAGAATCCGAAGCAGTAAAAACAATGAATTTTATCTCTGATCTATTCAAACCTGTCGTTTCGAAATTACAATTGTTGCTGTTGGAGAAAAATTTATCAATGACGACACTCACAAAATCACGATTAGAACAAGTTAAACAAGTTTTTATTCAACGTAACAAGGAAAAGCATGATGATGAAGAATTACGTTTTATTGCAGAAATTATTGAAAAAGTTAGTGATGAATATCACTTAGAATCACTAGTTACCATTGATTATTTAATAAAAAAGAAGAATCGAAATGAAATGATGCATTATTCACGAAAGATCAAGAAATATGCATTATCAAGCAGTTCTGGTGATTGGAACTTGGTCGAATTTTTATCAAACCAACC